GAGTGTGACTCCCAGCCACTTGCTAGGAGCTGGTGTGGGGTTAGTAGAACATGAAGTCTTGCTGTCTTTTGTGTTTTGGATTGTCATCACTGCAGAGACAAACCTGGAGAACTATCAAGTCCAGCTTCACAGTCTCTTGGGGATTTTTAACACCCAGGAGTGGATCCAGCTTTTGGAAGTTGAGTCACCAGAGTGGCTGAATACCACAAAGTAAGGCCTGACATAGAGAGAATGGGAAATTCAACAAGGTAGGCATGAGAGATATACAGAGGAACCAAATTAGCCAATACTGAAGCAGCAAATTAAGAAACAAAGAAAAATAAATTGCAAGAAAACATACAAAGAAGTATCAAACATGTACTGCACTAGAAACAACTACAAGTATACACTTTCCTAACACAACTTTTCTTTGCAGAAGTGCTATACATCTACAATAGGGAGTGAAAATGTCCAGAACTTTATTCTATTTAAGCACATGAACATGATAAGTGCAATACTGCTTGAGCCCACAGGTTTTTATGGCTGAGAGAGGAGTGTCTCTCTGCTTCCGTCTGGGGGAAAATAAAAACAAAAGGAGTATAAAACACAGGGCAAGGATAAAGCGATTCTTCTCTTGCATCCTTTATCTTCTGGTAACCAGTACCCTGCGGATCCTTCACAGAGATTTGTGTGGCCGTTGCCATCTGTCCTGTGGGTAAGCAGAAATGACAGGATTTCAAAATTGAGTAAATAACAAACAAAATGGTACAGGTGACTTAGAGGCTCCATTGTATCACCAATTAAACAAGGCAAACATAAAAAAGAATGTCCCCTTAATTAGGATGCTCGTTGAGACACCAAGATGCCTCAGGACAACCTTCAGAAAAAATGTGAACATGGGACCGAAAGACTGCCCAGGAAAAGGCTTGGGTATTAATGTTGTGCAAGGAACGCTCTTGAGACTCAGGACCCTGAGATCTCCTTCGATGATCTACTTTCCATCACCTCCTCTCTCCAGTTATTTTTGAAATCATGACATATTTCTGTTGCTTTCCAGATCACAGTTGAAGGTAGCTAACTTGCTGGCAGTTACTTCACAGAAAATGAATTCTAGTGCCAGCAGCATTAATACTGTGTTGTCTTTTGATCTCAATACATTTGGCTCTTTTTGATATCTCCTGTTGTTTGGAAGCTGGTCCATCACAGTTCTAAATGTATAAATCTTATTACCAAGATATTCTAGTAAATATATATTCATATTTATACATACATTTATATGTTTGTAATTTATATGTTTAGAAAATACTTAAAGTTGGCATAAACTCACATAGAGTATACCCAAATGACAATGTACCCAGCAACACTCAGCCATAGGTGTTTATAAAAACCCATACTGTCTACAGTGCTCTGTTTCTCTGCCTGTAGAGAGCCTATCTGAAGGAATTATGGAGGACTCTCACAAGACAAATAATTATCAAAGCAATCTGACTGAGGAAAACTGTTTAACTGATGGCAAGCTGTTTCACACTGTGCTACATTATGTTTTACCAATCAAATGCCTCAGTGGTTAAAATTAATTCATTGAGCTCCACATGGATTAAACAGGCTAGAGTGCACTCATCCTCTCCTTACGCAAAAGGAGAAGATTTGGTTCAAATGTTGATTTGCAACATGTCAGGAAGTGTTTTCTTCAATTAAATAATCTCATTTTAAAGTGAGTTCTATGCCAGAAAAACAAAAATTGAAACTTTTCTACACATGCGCAGCAGTTACATGCAGGATACAATCTTAAGATTTCTCTAAGGCAACTCTTGAAGCCAGAAATTTATATTTATATCAGGATCACAGCTCAGAAGCATTAGGCAAATTTGGGTTTCCATTGCATCTATATACATCATAGCCAATGCATTTCTAGCAGACATATACAGATTTAGTGATTGTAAAAGAGAGAATCCATGGATTTCATATTGGTACTCTCTGTGAAGAAAAATTAACACACAGATGTTTCTCCACACAAACTTCATTATTAATATTCCTTATATGCAGCTTAATTCCTCACAGAAGCTTTTTTTCCCCTCTGATCAGCAACTAATCAACTGAAATAAAAATAGGTAATTATTACTAAAAATAATGATAAATATGTCTTCCCCGGTCTTTACTGCTAAGGCGATCAGAGATACAAGATAATCACACTCCCAAAATGGATCAAACAAAATAAGAACACCATCACTGTTAGACAAAAGAAAGTTACGGAAGAATAAGTGTGCTATCTGGTTTTATCTCAGCTTCAAACCCAATGGCTAGTGGCTCACCACACACATCCTAAAGCTGATGTAGTTGCAGCTGATTTTGGCCTTGTGTCAGGGAGTTTGGCGTAGATAAACTGGACCTAAGGAAAATATTTTCACAGGGTTTTGTGATGGCATAGCTGACCAAGAATTATGAAAAATCACTACCATCGTCCCATCTGAGAGTCCAAGCAGTGCACCATTATGCAGCTCATTGGATCTCCTGGGAAACTGAGAGTAGAGCAGCTTTACTTCTCTCTGCAGTTTTGATCACCCAGCTGCAATAACTGGCATGCAGTAGAAGAAGGCTAGGCTCATTACTCTGCTATGACACATACAGCAGTGGAGCAAAATCCTATGAAACAGGCTCAGACATGGTCCCTGATCCATGCCTGTGTTGATATTGGCCTCACAGTGTGCTCTGACATACAGTCAGTGTCCTTTAGAAAAAACCCAATGGTTGTTGCCTGTATGGAGGAAGAGATATGGTGGCCAGCACTGACGGGCTGCAGAAGTTCAGGTTTTACTCTTATGTCTCCCAGTTCTGGAGTTTTCAGAGATGCTTAAAAATGGGCAATTATTAAAACATTTTGGACATGAAGCAAATTTGAATTTAAGTACAGGAAGAAGCTTGCATTCAAATGACAAGCTAGATGCAATAAAGTGGGCAAGCCATGCTCCAAGAATGAACACAAGTATTAATGAGAGCATCTAATCAAGTTATGACATAATATACAATAATTAATTTCAAAATTACAGTGGATTTTTAAATTCAGGTTACAAAATAATTCTGCAAAAATCTTTATGTTCTAAAAAGAGGTAACAAATTCCTCACAGGAACAAAACTAATCCCTGCTGGTGACTGGATTCAAGTCAGTACCACTGCCCTGAACAGCTAATCTGTCTGAAGCAATATCTCTCCTTGATTCTGCTTTGCCTCTCATCAGAGGCAAAATCACTGAAACCATTCTGCAAGGACTGTTTTGTGCAGCATCACACAAGATTCAAGCAGGATCCCATTAAGCAACTGGCAGTGAACAGTGCAGGTAGTAGTGCAGTTGCCCCTTAGCAACCTCCTTCCCCATTGAATTCCTGTTTTGTTCCAGATGAGCTGGGTCCAGTAGGTACAGTCCTTTGAAGTTTACCACATGCACACACATGCACTTTCCATTTCATTTGCAACGCTGACACTCTGTTCCTACAGTTTGTAAAGGCTTTGTTTCAATGGTTTTAACTGGGCCACTGCTTGTTCTCAGTTTCCTGTTGCTTTGATCATGGGTTTCCAGGTCTCCTCAAGTAGGTTGTATCCTCCAAGGTGGATTTTCTCCTTTCCTGTGCTGGGCCAAAGCATCCAAGTGACCTTTGATTTTTTTCTTCTTCTCTCTCTTTTTTTTCCCTTTGGCCTTTTTTTTTGTTTTGTTTCTGACTCGCCATATGTGAGATAATTGTGCCCACAGGAATTCCTTTCAGAGTGCCTAAGCACAAAAGAAAAACACCCCGCCAGTTCTTTTTCTAGAGCAGTACAAACATTTCCTTAAACCTAAGTGTCTCAGGAGGGGCATTGACAGAAGGCTCCTTTCACCCAGAAAACCTGCTCTGTGCTGAGCTGCTGGTGAACCCTCAGCCGCCTCCTGCATTTTGACGTCACGGATAGAGCAAAAGTTTTGCCAATATAAGCAGTCAAGTTCTTTGATTCCAGCTTTATGACAATGGAAAGGAGGCCGGGGCCAATCATGCTGTGGTGGGGTTTATTAATGGAAAAGGGCAGTGGGGGCCAGTAAGTCTTTGGCAACTTTGTTACTTTGACTGCTGTCCCCCTGCATTGCACTTGATGGATGGAAAACTACATGCCCTCCTCTTCAGTGGAGGGCATGTAGTTTTCCCATGCTAATAAGCTCCCCAGCAAGAAGGTCTGGACTAATGTTAGGATATTGCACAGCTTGGGAAGGGCAAAGAGGATCTTAAAACCACCCATGCAATTTGATGGCTGCAAGGAACCATGCTAAGAAAATATCCCTGTACTCTGAACTCCTCTTATTAAGGAAATAAATGTGATTTCTTCTTTGAGCTCTCCTCCGCTGTGGTCTGAACTGCTGACCCCCTGGTTTTAATAGAGGAGTTATGTCCGTGGACAATGAAACAAAAATTTTAGTCCTATTTTCAGATCCCAAGGAAATGAATTGGGCCCTCTCCCCAGCACAGTTTCAGGATGTTTCTGTCTGTCACTGCACTAAAATAAAAGATGGGGTTGACAGTTAGTTTATGAGGGTGTCATTTTCCCCAGGTTCAGCACGGTTGTGTGCTGAGGAAAGGGATTTTGACTCTGAATCCAAATTAGTGGAAAGGGCAGCTAGGCATTGCCTTTCCTCCCTTCCCTGCTCTGTCACTATCACTGCCCGCAAATGCCTGGAACTTGTCCTCCAAAGCAAGAACAATCCTCATTCCATGGACCACTGCATAACAATACTGACAGGGGGACATCTTCTGCCTTAGTGGCCAAGGCAGCTTTAGGAAGATCCAAAATCAAAGTAAGGAGCAAGATAGGCCGGAGCTTGTCTGGAACATAAGATGGGGGAAATGTCACTTAATTAGGAAAGAAGCTGGTAACTGGGCTAAATGCCTCCTTCTTACTCCACCAACCACATCACAGAACAAGCTACAGCAGAGAAGCTTTAGGAGCTCCTTTCCTTTCCACTTTGTGATGCAAGGCATTCTCAGCGCAGTTAGCAGTCACTCAAGCTGGATGGTTATTCACCGATCTTGGAGGACACCGACAAGGAGTCAAGCACACAGTCTACATCCTGAGCAGCAACACTCCTGAAAGCACCTCCCAGGGAGACTGTGGCCATAGAGGATAAAAAGTTCTAGAACAGAAGAATTTTGCAGCACAATCTAATATAATGTTGATAAAAATTCTGAAAGCGCACAACTCCATGGGAGCTTTAAGGCAATCTTCAGGTGTGATGTTTTTGTTGCTGGTTTTAGAGGGGAAAAAGGAAATATTTAATTTGAGCTAAGCATCCCCAGCATTTGTACCAGTAGAAAACAGATTTCAGAAGAATCCTTGCTAAGAGACTACAGATGAGAACACAACAATTTATTCCTCTTTTTCTCTGAGAAGGAATAAAACATCTCTCCTCAGAAGCGCACAGCTTTAGATAACTAGATCTTTTTAAAAGAGCATAGAAAAAAACTGCATTGAAATATGATGTATTAATTGACAACTGTGGGGGGCAAGGGTGGTAAATGTCTAGGGATTTGGAATTTTTATGGCATGGAGCCAGATTCATACAGATAAGTTTGATATATGTATGTTGGGGCCGGGGGGGAAGGGAAGATGTATAAGCACTAATGTTCACAATATGCCGTTCAAGTTATTTATAGCAACTCGAAACCAGAATTTATAGAGTGCTATTAAAATGTCTTGGTTGTGTGTGTTAGACCTTGATTGTAGCTGGATTAGCCTTTATTTTTTTATTATTTTTTATAGGACAAAGAAAATTGTGGCTGTGCATCCCAGCACGTGAGCGAGTTTATCAAATACAAGGCAGCAGCCAGAACAACAGGAAATTGCATGAGAAAGCCCAGCTCCTGGCTGGCAGAAGGGCGTTAACCTCTCCTTCATGTCACTGAGTTTAATACTCCAATTTTGCAGTAAAAGCGTCTTCCCCGAGCCCGGGTTCATAAATGTGTTAGTGATCCTTGATGTTCCCAGCAGAGGATAGTAAGGAAAACACAGCCCTGAATAGCTCGCATTGATTGCAGCAAATACAGAGCAGTAGGGTCAGCACCATTTCCCAGCCCAGAGACAGTGCTGTAGAACTGAGCAGCTATTCATAGCCACTGGATCTACTCCAAGCCGTGAGTGTAAATTTGCTTGTATCATCTTTGCAGAGAGGAATTGTGGTCCCCAGTGCCTCCTGCTTGATTCGGGTAGACTGTTTATTTGTTTAGTCCTGTAATGATATTATCCACAGGGCTAGAGCCACACAGGGAGGATTAGGAATTCCTGGAGGAGAAGCCATGTGTTTATTGCCATGACAGCCTCGTGTGACACAAGCCAACAGTTACTTGTAGTTGTTCTTACCCTCTGCAAACTTGGAGCTTGCAGCCGTGGGGGAGAGGGTGTCGGATCGATGCAGCAAAGGCACAAGGCGAAGAGGCTGTCACAGGGAAAGTGGTGGGATTAGCATGCTGGAAACTCCTTCCTCCTTCCTACCCACAAATAGCTCTATCTCGGGTGCTTTTAAATGTAAATGACGGCAGGAGAATCATCAGCGACTGAAGCCCTTCCAACATCGATAACAGTCCCAAACCTGTGCCGTTAGCCTGATTTTCGAGAACATTTAATAAGCCATGCAACTCAGATTTTAGCCCTCTTTTAAAAGTAGCTTTGCGTTTCTAGAACAACAACAACAAAAAAGCACCGGCACGAAAGGATCTTACAAGTATTTGCACAATCCCAGTGAAAGGTGAAAAGGGACCAAGAGGGAGGAAGAAGGTTGTTGGTTTAGGGTTTTTTTCCTTTTGCTTTCCCTTTTTTAAATTTTTGTTTCCTATTTTAATAAATATTTAATCATGGAAAGGGAGGGAAAGGCCAAAAGTAACAAAGAAATGTAAGTTGTTTAGATTGCTGGGGAACTCCCTCTTTGCAGCTGACCATTGCTACATGTAGGTTAATTTCCACATGGCGCTGGAGAAATTCTATCCCCGGTTTGTGAAGTGTGGGTCAGCCGAAGCATGTTAATCTGTTTAGCATGTGTGCTTCGTGGAGGTGCCAGACCACCACCGTGCAAGAGCAGAAGTAGCAGCAGTCATAGTCCTTGGGGGTAGTTAATAAAGACTTTAAGGGAAACAAGTTTATAAAGGTTTCAGTTACGCACGGTGCCAGCTTTGGACATTTCAAGCTTACAGCCCTGCAGACGACAAAGCTGAGAAGCCTCTGGGCTGTTTATAGCAGGTCTAGAAGAGAGCGCGCCGATGCTGCAGGCTGCGCAGCCGGGGACAGAGCGGGGAGAGCTCTGGTGCTTCTTCTCCCCAGGAACAGGGGACACCAGCTAAGCCACCTCATCTCTCTGGGGGCACCCCGAATCCACCGCAGCCGCGCACACAAGTGCACCTTCACTCCTTTGGGTAGTCTAAGGTGTTTACGGAACCTCGGTTTTAATCTGCGCCCTTCCCGATGCAGGGCTTCACACCCAGCTGGAGGCTTGAGGAGTCGTGCGGGCCGCTAAACGAGATAATAGCAAATAAAACTCCATGGGTTTATTCCCATAAGCCCACACAGTGCAGACTAATCAACGTCTCGTCTCTCGCTCAGGGATGAGCTGCGAGACATGTGGCTCTGGGACTGACACTCCGCTTCTCTCTCATAATTTTTTTTTTATTTCCCTTTGAAATTCTAGACACTTATTAAGGCATTTTTAAATAACCAAAATATTTGCTGATGAGTATTTATTTTGACAAGGGTTTTGGTTTGGCTTTCGACTTTACGTTCAACTATATAGACTGTAGTATTAATTTACTATAAAGCCAAATGTGGTTGAGATTCTTCTGCCTCGGCTCTGGATTTCAGTCATTCGGGAGAAGTTTTTCTAGTAGATGAAATGAATAGTCATAGGCACATCTCGTTACATTTTCCAGCGTGATTCGCCATATGTTCCTCGGAGCTAAAGGAAGTTGAACATTGCTCGACAGGAAAAGTATCCCGCGAACAGATACATACCGACGTCGTACCCAGAAAACAGTGACATCAACGCAGTCCCGTGGTGCCCCCACTCTCACCGCGTTTAAAGCGGCCAAGTGGGCGCTATACGTCAAAGATCAGAAGAAGCCATGAACTGGGACGGGGGGCAGTCCCGGCACCGGCTTACTGCGCCCCGAGGAGGGGTCCCGGAAGATGCCCTTTCACTCCCGGGCACTCAGACCCCAGCTAGGGGAAGGACCCCCGGGTTTGGACAACCTCCACTCGACAAAGTTATTTTCTGCCTTCAGGCCTGAGCGTTCACTTCTGTTACTTGAAGTATTGTCAGCGATAAGATCGCAAGGAAGGGGCCGGGGCCAGGAGAAGCTGCGATGAAAGTGCAGCTGCCCGGAGAAGCCTCTGCCTGCTCTCCCGCTGCCGGGCAGACCGGTTTCCAGCCGTCCTTCCAGAAATAATAAGCACTGCACTATTTCCCTTGTTTCTTCTTCGCTTGCAGGAGACAGTGGCAGTGGTCACCCTCGGGTGTCGGCTGGCACCGGCTCGCCACTCGGTTGGGGTCGGGCTCCTCTCAGCGCTTCCAGCTCCCTCCAAGATACCGAGCTGAGCACCACAGGAGCCTTCTTTTAGGTTTCCTGCCCTTTCGTGACATCTGCAGAAGGCTGCTTTCCCTGCAAAGTTGTGGTTTTTTGGTTTTTGGTTGTTTTGGTTGTTTTGGGGGGTTTTTTTGTTTTGTTTTGTTTTGTTTTTTTGTTTTGGTTTTTGTGGTTTTGGTTTTTTTTTTTTTTTACTATAGCATTTTGGAGCTTTTGTTGGTTGATTGGTCTGTGGGCGTTGCTTGTTGCTTCTTTGTTTTACAGACTTGCACGTATTTTTCTCAGTATGCTTTTTTTAATCAATTATGAAGGAATTGGCGACGACGTAAACCATGCTCTATGTTTTACGCTGGCACTCTTTGCCTGCACTGTTACCTGTAATCATGGAACATACTTCCCCTCATCTTGAGACAGGCGGTAACTCATGGCTTGAGCTCACTGCTGAAACCAGCCTAACACGTGAATAAAACACATTGACACTGAACATCGAGCATCCTTAGGCCAAGGTGTGCAGGGGGAAAGCGTCAACTATTTCAGAACAGGATATCCCTCCCAGTTCACTCTTGCGGGGCCAACACACACACAAAAACACAGATATTTTTAAAAATTTACTGGGGGGTTGGGGGGTGGAAGTGTCTGCTCTGCTTTCCCCGTTAAAACCTTTTACAAAATGATATTTCCTGGGGAGGTATCCCTGGATTAGCTCTGTGTATTAACAAGAGAAGCCCTTTCCCACCTAGGACGTTTAATGCTCCGAGCTACCCTCCGAAAGCAGTGCTGTCCTCCTCGAGGGCAAGCGGAGCGCTCCCCTAAGCCATGGCATTGTTCCTGTCCTGAGTAGACACGCTCTGTCCCCGCCTGGCGCACCCGGGAAGGCGACACTGGCAATTCAAGCTACCAAAACCCGCTTTATTGCTCTAATGACCTACAACCTATTTTCTTTCCCTGAAGGATCAAGTAAGACCTATTCCATCTGAAGCAGTCACTGCAAAGCCTGACCACAGGCCAAGTGAGAGTCCTGCCAGAGGAAGTTTAACAATGAGTTTCAGGGAAATGTGTGTATTCTGCGCTTGAAATGTGCTCCTGATCAGAAACCCTGGCATCCCTCACACGGCAGCTCTGCTTCCGGGCATATCTGCTTCTTTTGGGGCAAGGCACTACCACTTTCACTTCGGTCAGCAACACCAAACTAGGAAAATGAGCCTGCACTGGCTCATACATAATCACGATAGTTTAACGACGTCTGATTTTCAGACCCGTTATATCCAACAGCCCCGTCAGCCTTTTGGGAGACCAGAAGCATGGTATAATTATGTGCAGATACCAGGCTGGCTTTCCAACAGTAAGGGAAGCTCAGCTGCCTTCGAGCAGCCTGAGCTCTTGCCTTCGCTGCCACAGGCGCAGCGGCGGACAGGGAGCTGTGTGAAGGGGAAGGTGCATATGCAAGGCCAGCCCGCACTGAGGGGGCAGGCAAACGCTGACGGCGGCTTCTTCGTACTACTGCAGAGCAGATGCGGGGTCGGAGGGGGGCTCCTCAGAAACCATGCAATGAGGCCTGGCGCACCCTTCACACTAGGCGAGGGTGCCGTGGCACAGACAGCCACCCACGCAAGGAGGGCAAGCGGAAAGGGGCTGGAAGCCACTTGGCGTTGAGAACAGTAATTCTGCAGTTGCATGGGTAGGCTCCGTGCGAATTTGGAGGGGAACATTAATGCATTTTACAGGGGAGACAGGGTACCACTCTTGGGCGATCCCTCTCCGCCGGTGCCGAGGCGAGAGGAGGGGAGGTTGACTCACGTGGAAGGGCGGTGGCTACGGGGAGAACGCCCGACAGCTCTCCAAGTGGGAGCACCCGCGCGGTGACCACCCCTCTGGGACGCTCCGCTCCCTGGCGAGCAAGACTATTTGGAAATCCGGGTCGGAAAAAACAAACAAATAAACCGTAGAACACAAAACAAAAAACTTACCAAAATGCACCAGGAAAACCCCCACCCAAAACCCTCCCGCAACATCAGGATTTCACAGGAAGCAGGGCAGGCTATCAGTGCCCACGCACAGGCCGGGGGCCGACGCAGCCTCTCCGGGCCGCCCCACCGCCGTCGCCCGCGGGGCTCCTACCTGCCGGCTGGCTCCTCACGGGCGCCATAGACGGGTCCCGTCTCCTCTGCTTTGCCCGCCGCTGGCGGAGGGCTTCCGTGGTAGAACGTCGCTGGCTCCACTCTCTTGGCCGACGTGGGGCACCCGCGGGGCCGGGAGGACACGCGTGGGAGCAGGCGGGGTGCTCTGGTCACGCTGCCCGCACCAGGCCCACTTGCCGCGGTTTCTGCGCGTCTCATGGAGCGAACGGCATTACAAAATGCAATACAACGGGCCGATAAATTCCCCCAGAGC